TGCGGGCAGCTGTTCCATTCCTTTATTGCTGTACAAAAAAAGGTGTTTGAACCAGGCCACTGACTGTGGGTACTACAAAGTTGTGCTCTCTCCCCTAGTACTATGATTGCTTTGGTTCCCAACTTGACAAAATTGACAGCAAGATATTCTGGACATTGTTTGTGAGCAATTTTATAAACATGATTTAGTTCAGTTGTTTTACTCTGTCTTCAAACATTCAGCATATCCAACTGCTGTAATTCATCCTGGCCTACATGTTCTCTTGGTCCCAGCCCCAGGATGAATCTTACGATTTTGTTCTGGGTGTTTGCAGTCTATCTTTCAGTTTTTTTGTCAAGGCAGAGTACCAAGAAGAGAAGCGTAATCCATATGGCATTGTATAAGGGCTAGACATAGGGTCCTGCGAGCCTCAGTAGGTGGGACACTGTGCTGTCTATACAGGACTTCAGTCTGGCATTCGCTTTCTTTACTACACTGTTTTTCTATCAATTCTCCTGACATGCATGGGTCAAAGGGGATTCCCAAATATTTTACTGATGAAACCAAAGTGATGGGCTCCCCATTACAAATTTAACATTAAAATTATTTACCCTTCTCAGTTTATGTTTCGTGCCAAAGAGAATGGCTTCAGTTTTCCCTAGGTGTAATGATAGTTTGTTGTCTACTAACCATTTGCTGCAGGACTCCAGTTCCAGTGTTAAAACATTAGCAATATCTTGTGGTCTTTACCTGACACAACAGAGCACTGTCATCTGCTAAAAGTAGGAGTTTGCACTTGACACTGTAGGCATATCATTGACATAACATAAGAATAATAGGGACCCAGAATACTACCTTGGGGAATCCCATGTTATCGGCAGGGTTCTGATTTGTTTTGTTGATTTTGACTATTTGTCTCCTGTTGCTAAGGTAGGGGCTTAAACCAGTCTACAGAACCTATACCGATAGCTTGAAGTTTATTACATAATTATTGTGGTTGACAGTATCGAAGGCCTTTTGCAGGTCTAAGGTTACCATGCCTATGAGGTTCCCTTTGACATTTCAGTTCTCAGGTAACCCCATCAGATTAATAAGGGAGGTGTCGGTTGAGTAGGATCTTCTAAAGCCCGATTGATAGCTATGGAGAATGTTGTTGTCATTAAGGTACTTAACTACTTGAGAATACACCGCCCTCTCTAGAATTTTAGATATTATACTGAGTATACTAACAGGCCTATAGTTGCTTACATCAGACCTACTATTTTTCTTGAAGATAGGAGTAACTCTGGCCTCCTTGAACCCCTCCGGTACGGTATTAGTGGTGATTGATAGATTTATTATGTGAGCAATAGGTATTGACAGTTCAGAAGCACCATCTTTTAGGAACTTAGACGGGATGTTATCAGGGCCTGTGCAGATGATTGCAACATTCCTCTCACTAATTATGAACTTGATGCAGCGCTAACTAAGGGCAACTCCACGTCGCCTGGTGAGGATGGTATTACTTACAACATACTCAGATTGCTGTGTCGAGTACCAGGTAATCCATTACTTGAATTACATAACATGAGCTATGTAACTGGGGAGCTCCCTCAATCTTGGACCAACAGCCTCATCATTCCAATTCCTAAGCCCAATCAACAAAATGCATTTCGCCCAATATCTCTTACTAGCTGCTTGTGTAAAACATTTGAGAGAATGTTTTCTTAATCGTCTCATTGTACAGAATCAAACAATTTTTGTCTCCCCGGTTACATGGTTTCATGCATGGAAGGAGCGTGCATCATTGCATAGCCACCTTTCTCACCCTGCACACTGACAGCTCCTACACTACCTTCCTTGACCTTAAATCCGCTTTCGATGTAGCCAACCGACATGTAATAATTAGTGAACTTGCCGAAGGATGTTGGAGGAGGGCTTCTCCGCTGGATTAAAGGCTACCTGTCCAACAAAAAAATCGTCTGTGTTGTTCGGGGGACATAGAAGTGTAACTAAAGACTTTGAATTAGGAAACCCCACAGGGAGGTGTGTCAGTCCCCACTGTTCATATTCTAATTAATGCATTACTTAATGCTATGCCTAGTCAGCCCCATAATTATGTGATTAGTTTTGTGATGATATAATGATTCACACCACCGGATTCTCCAAACCCCCAAAAACATTCTTAATCATGTACTAGCTCGTGTCAGGACCTGGGGTTGATAATCTCTACTGATAAAACAAGATACTCAATAGGCGTCCCCTCGACAGAGAGGCACAGTTCGTCAGATCCAATTGCATGATGGGTCTCTTCTAGAATATGTAAGCAGATACAGGTATCTAGGCTTTGAGGTTCCACTACTATGGCCCTGTTGTAACAAGACTTTGTCGCCAATACAAAGAAGACTAAGAGCACTTAGAGTTGTGGCAGGGCTTCACCCCAGGTATGATGCTAATGTTAAAATTGTGAAAATGATGTATCTTGCTTATATTAGATCATTGGTTGATTATGCTGCGCCCTACTTGCTCTTGTGTCTGACTGGAAGCTTGGAGGGCGGGAAAAAAACTGCAGAACGAAGCAATGGGATCATCCTAGGATGCCTCGTACTGCCAAAATTTTAAATATGCAAAGAACTTGATATTCCAAGCATCAGAGATCGTGTTACTGAAAGAAATATCCTAATTGGGGTTAATATGCTCAGGCAAGTCATTCAAACCCCCGCACAGAAGCCCTCCAAACTTTCCTCAGCACTGGTGAACACTCCTCCAGATGGATCGAAAAAAACTGGAACCGACTCCGCATGAATCAGATACATGATCTATGTCAAGTAAGGCAACAGCGGCACTTCTCCCCTCCAAAAGGGAAAATTACCCATTCCAAACTACCATTCCTCCCATTTCCCCCCAAACTACTTTTAAATCACAACCAAAACTTCGCCTTGAAGCCAAACATGAGGCCTTAGCTGTATTGTAAACTTAGTCACACAGCACACACTCTCGCAAATTATTTACGTTGATGTTCTATTCACCAATCCCCTGGTGCAGCTGGTAGTGCTGCTGTTTTCGTTTCAGAGTGATGGCTCTCTTAAAGAAATTGGAGCACGCATCAAATAATTGGGCCCCTACCCTTTAGACAGAACTGTTTTGCCATACTCCTTGCATGAAATGCATCTATGTATCAAAGATTGACAGTTTAATTGTAACTGATTCTCTGTCATCCATAAATGCTCTCAACTCCTCATTAAACATAAAATTTTGGCATGCTTGTGTCAGAAGCCAGAAAACAGGTATGGGAGGATTGTGGACAGTGGAGTCAGAGTGCACATGCTGTGGATTCCATCTCACATTGGTCTTCAGATGCATGATAGAACTGATTTAAAATTTGGGTAAGCTGTATGCTTTCAAAGAGGGAGTAGATTAAAAATCTTGGCTTGTCAGGTAGTAGTTGAGAACAATAATACGAAAAGAACTTCAGCTGAATTTTAGGACTTAAGGCTCAGGGAGATTGACACCAGTGAGTCCATCTATCATCATTCTATCATGCAGGAGGAGCCACATGTCTATGGTGATCCAACAAAATAAACAGACTCTTGGATGTCACTACCGCCCGGCTCCGGCTGGGTTTACAAGTTCTTTGGCAGGTTAAATCACACCACCAGATGTGACCAAACGAAATGTAAACTTTGCCAGATGGATTATTGTCACACCCTGCGTCATTATGTACTGGAGTGTGATAAAATTAATGAATTTAGAAACAACTCACTCAGAAGTGTTCAAGAAATGGCTAAGTATTTTACCACAGTGGTATATTAAAGACCATTCTGGAGAAATACCCTGACTTTGCTAGCTGTAAATAAAGCATACCCTTTTGTGCATGTGTGTGTGTGTGTGTGTGGGGTGTGTGTGTGTGTGTGTGTGTGTGTGTGTGTGTGTGTGTTGTGTGTGTGTGTGTGTGTGTTTGTGTGTATGTGTATGAGTGTGTGTGGTGTGTGTGTGTGTGTGGTGTGTGTGTGTGTGTGTGTGTGTGGTGTGTGTGTGTGTGTGTGAGTATGAGTGTGTATGTGGGGTTTTGAGTGTGTGTTTGTGTATGAGTGTGTGTGCGTGTGTGTGTATGAGTTTGTGTATGTGTGTGTGTGTGTGTGTGTGTGTGTGTGTGTTTATGTGTGTGTGTGTATGAATTTGTATGTGTGTGTGTGAGAGAGAGAGAGACTCAGCAAACAACATTTTCACCAATAACTCACTACAGTTGGACCGGGTGTGGAAGTGTGAATTGCTCATTACTCTAAAATTTGTTCATGATTGCAGCCATGTATAAACGTAAGTAAAACCCTTTCTTACGTATTCATTACCTTTGTAACTTGTGAGTTCATTACCTTTGTAAATTGTGAGTTCATTACCTTGTACCTAGTTCAGCCATCAAAACTTTGGAGCCCGGTCCCTGGACCCATTGTGTACCTCTGTAATCTGTAAATACCGTTGTAACTTGTCATGATTGTGACTAGACCTACCTGGAGTTCATTACCTTTGTAAATTGTGAGTTCATTACCTTTGTAAATTGTGAATTCATTACCTCTGTAACTTGCTCAGCTATCAAAACTTTGAGGCCCAGTCCCTGGACCCATTATGTACCTCTGTAATCTTTTGACTACCGCCCACAGGATGGGTATGGGGTGCATAATAAACATATTAAACTAACTAACTAACTCTGTACTGTAAGTAAGTAAGCAAGTAAGTTAGTATGGTAAATATATAAGAAAGATATTAAAGACGTTTTTTAAACTCTCGGTATACTGTATAAAATACATTTTTTTTACAATGGTATTAAAGTAAACAGATGTTTTAGGCACATAAAAGTACATTATGTAGATATAACTTTGGATTATCAAATAAAGTCAAACGCTGTGGCTTATTTCTTATCAGAAGAGACATTCTCAAATTATTTCACAGAAACTAATTTGATTAATAAAAATTACACATTAAAACTTACACAACCTAAAATTAAGATAAACCTGAAACCTGCCTTTCTTTTCATCACAATCAAGGTGTGGATCGGCTTTCCCATAATATACTTCATAGTCTCTGTGTTCCTGACGGTGCTTCCAGTGGTCTCTCAACCACTGGAGGTGATGATGGCAGTGGTCATCATCGTCACGGGTCTTCCAGTCTACTACTTCACCATCCACAGACAGAAGAAACCGCAAAAGTTGCTCCAGGCAATGGGTCAGTGAGCCAGACTACTATAAAATTGATTTTTACTCTAATTTTTTTTTTAATTTTTGATCGTCTAAGGCTATGTACAATGAATACTTATAATATAACAATTATATCAACGTATAATACTCACCAAAACATGGAAATTATTCACATTGACTTTACTGGGTTAAATATACCTAGTATGCTTCGCGGCTGAATTCCACTAAAGAACAAAAAGGCACAATACCATGACTGGAACAAGACACAAATAACTCACACATAGGAGAAAGGAGCTTACGGCGGAGTTTCGGTCCGACTTGGACCAATTACAAAGTCACACTAACAGAAAGGAGAGGAAGCAGTATGTACAGACCAGCTGGCAGGGACGAGACAAGAGTAGTGGAAGTAGTAAAGGTAAGGCAGGAAGTGTAAGTAGTGGTAGTGGTAGATGTAAGGCAGGAAGTGTAAGTAGTGGTAGTGGTAGATGTAAGGCAGTAAGTGTAAGTAGTGGTAGTGGTAGATGTAAGGCAGTAAGTGTAAGTAGTGGTAGTGGTAGATGTAAGGCAGGAAGTGTAAGTAGTGGTAGTGGTAGATGCAAGGCAGGAAGTGTAAGTAGTGGTAGTGGTAGATGCAAGGCAGGAAGTGTAAGTAGTGGTAGTGGTAGATGTAAGGCAGGAAGTGTAAGTAGTGGTAGTGGTAGATGCAAGGCAGGAAGTGTAAGTAGTGGTAGTGGTAGATGTAAGGCAGGAAGTGTAAGTAGTGGTAGTGGTAGATGTAAGGCAGGAAGTGTAAGTAGTGGTAGTGGTAGATGTAAGGCAGGAAGTGTAAGTAGTGGTAGTGGTAGATGTAAGGCAGGAAGTGTAAGTAGTGGTAGTGGTAGATGTAAGGCAGTAAGTGTAAGTAGTGGTAGTGGTAGATGTAAGGCAGTAAGTGTAAGTAGTGGTAGTGGTAGATGTAAGGCAGGAAGTGTAAGTAGTGGTAGTGGTAGATGTAAGGCAGGAAGTGTAAGTAGTGGTAGTGGTAGATGTAAGGCAGTAAGTGTAAGTAGTAGGACAAATAATGATAGTGTAAAGTAGGGAGAGTAGTTGGTGGGACAAGAATAGAAAGGGAGAGAGAAGAAAAGGAGGCAAGTGAAGGTAAGAGCCAAAAGTAGTAGGAAAGGAAGTAGTAGAGGCAGTGGTAGTGAGGTCAGTCAAAGACCAAGAAAGAGGAGCACTACAGGAGAACACAAGAGGTAAGATAAAACAAACAAAAAAGGACGGGGGGGGGATAAAGGACCAAACACCCAGGGCAGAAGAAAGTAAACCCAAAAGAAGAAAAAGGTAAAAAAAAGACATGGGAAAAGGTAGAAAGAGAAGGAGAGAAAAAAATCAGGTAAAGTCACGGGTGTTCTGAAGTTTGGAGCATTTAACAATGTATTGGGAAAGGAAGACACAAAGCCAGGACAAAGATTCATACAAGGAAAATTATGAATAAAGGAGAACTCAACATGATGGCGACTGTGAAAGTTAAAAGTAAGGTAGACTATTAGTATCATGCAATTGTTATGAATTTGAACTAAGTCACCTTTGAACAAACCACACATCCTGTTTCTGATAGGGAAGGTGGTTTTGGAACAACAGCTCCTGGCTCCTTTATTTACTTTTGCTAGTGAGGCGAACTAGTACACCGGACATACAGTCATCAGCCGAGTAGTTAAACATGATACACGTCTACAACCACTGAAAGATTTGTTTGATGCTGCAGGAAAAACGAAGAAACAGCTTCCTGTAAGAATGTTTCTATATCATTATTATAAGTAATCCAGAGATAATTTAAAGTACACGGGAGGATGTGAGTAGGTTATGTGCAAATACAACGCCATTTTATACAGGGGATTTGAACATCGACGGATTTTGGTATCCCTGGAGAATCCTGGAACGTATACCCCGCGGATACCATGGGACGACTGTACTTTACTGCACGCCGTCCCCACTAAGGATTCTGTATTCAATGGCTCCATTTGACTATTCTACATAATCTTAGTAATAGATTTTTTAATGGTGGTGGAGGAGCTCGTTGCTACGTTAACTAGCGCTGCTTGTTCAGTTATTTCACTTAGTTCCAGAGAGTCCAGCTTCCTTAACGATTTAGGTCAACACTCTTAACAATCAAACTTCACAATTTTCCTTTATTCATAATAAATATATGAAAGATAGGGATTACAATAAAATTTCTAACACTCAAACTTCAAAATGTCTTGTAGCTGGGTTAGTAGCGCACTCATCTCACACACTGAGTGTCCGTGTTTTTTCCCCGGTACGGTTAGCCGACTGGTGCGGGTTGCATTCTGGAGGGCAAGATTAACCAAGTTGTCCGAATAGCCCTGCATAACCAGGGGCGTTCTATATAGTATGTCATTGATGTCAACTGGGTCTGTATAAGTTGTATAATGCACTCATAGAAATAAAGCTTATTATTATTATTCATAATAAATATACGAAAGATTGAGTAACCAATCCCTTGTTCCAGAAACGTTGTTGGACTAAGAACCGATACGTACAGACAGGAAGCCCAAGATTAAATATAAACTGAAATATCTATCATCTCTTATTATTAAGATTACTTAAAATATTTAAAAGGACTTCGTCAGGTTTGTGAGTAAAGATTCTTATAAAGTTACATTCATTTTATCTTGGGGCTTCAATTTTTGTTTAACATACTTTAAAATTTGTAATTAATATTAACACTTATGTCCATTGTTTTCAGACAAAGTTGCATACCTGTGTCAGCTGCTGTTCCTTACAGTGCCGGAGAAGACTGTGTGAGGACTTGTGAGCTGCTACACAAACTTTCGTTGTTGCGCAGTGGAAACGGACAAGATTATTGTACAGTAGATTCAGCAGTTTGAGACCGTGTGCTTAATAATTTTAACCTGGACCAGTTTCCAGTGGATGGTAGTCTTTTTAACGTTGCAATGCTGTTTTTCATAGCCAAACTACACTGTTAGAAGAGTTTTCTAGGCTACAACACACCCTGTAAGGCAGGGTTGTGATGGGTAGCTTCCCGGTAACTTCACACTTACCCGCCTGTGCAAGATTTTTTAGTTTAAAAAAATTAGGCCAGACCTGGCACCATTTCATCAAGGTATTCAAAACAAATCTGAAGATATTTCTTATATTTTTTTTGTAAAATGTTTCTCTTCATGCTTCTTGACTGTTCCAGTGTGTGACATTTTATATTGTTGGTGGCAGTTCCTCCTCTCTCAACGAACCTTCAGGCATCTGATGGGTCCTAAATAACTCCCTCACTGCAACAGTATAATCTAGCTTTGTTTTGGGATTTTATTTTCATTAAGATTTAAGTAATGTGCTTCACATCAACAAATTAACAGGTCACATCCTGCTACAGTACCTACTTCCTTCATTCTTCAAATTCATCCTTCCGACCACCAGCTTCCTTTCACTGTCAAGAAAGAACCTTAGGACAATTGCTAAACCAAGCTAAGAAAGATTGGAAGATCTTAAGAAGGAAACAACAATTGCTTTATGATCATGTAGCTTCATTATCTGAAAAGCTCCAAGAATCCGTCACCAATGAAGGTGGATAAACGAGGCATTAATTGTAGTTAAAGGTTTAATGTTCGATAAATGATGTATTCATGTATTGTAACATTAATGTTCCTATTACAACAAAATAATTTGAGACATGGATTTCCAGCATTATTGTTTACATGAAATAAATGATAAATATAAATGAAGAACAAATGAATGACTAGTTTACCTCCACCGTTATTTATATTAATGATGGTCAATACCTTCACTACTAGATCGAAGCACACTTCTTCAAGGGGGACTTCTTGAAGCGGTGAAGAGGCTTTTAGTCTTAGAAATTGTACTTTTTTGGTCTTTTTACTCCGACTGAACTTTATAATCCTCATTCCAAACTTCCCTGCCCCATCCTTCCCATCCCTTCTCTCCCATTCTTCCTTTCCTCATCCCTTCCCTTTCTATCCTCTTCTGCTTTTGGCTGTTGGGGTTTTTCCTTCTGAAGTTCTAGCTTAGGTTTGAAAGGGTGTTGTTGTCCGTCCCATTCCACTGAGGTCCTTGGTGGCTGTGAAGGCTTACTCAGCCCTGTAACAACTTCAGACAGTATTACCAAGGCTGGCTCCTCCTCAGGAAAATTAATGAATAGAAAAAGAACAAAAACTGACAAACATAAACACTTTATTATTTAGAAAATTTAAAATATAAAATACTTAAATATGAAATATTGATCCTACCTTAAAGAAAATGAAAAATGAAAAATATAAATGATATCTGAATTCAACGCTAATATATATATATATATATAAAACTTGGGTGTCTGGTGTTGGTGACACTGCGTGTTGTTGAAATCGTAGCCGTTGCTGATGGGGGGGGGGTTTGCAGGTGTTGGTGACAACCCACCGGCTCGTTCTTCACAGATTTTATAGCCTTCAATAATCCGTCCAAATGACAGGGAAGCAGGTTTTTTTCCACTGCAATGATGAGGGGTTATATCCTGCTACTTGCATACACAAACAGGTAAGCGGATCAAAAATTGGGACATCTCAGAACGTTAGTCCGTCTACTTCAATTCTATTCGTTGATTGGCAGGTGACCCTCTCTGTCATTTCAAGCTGTAAAGAGAGACAGATTACCCACTGCTTAAGAAATCACTCTCCATGATAAGTACAATACCTAAAAGATGTGGTGATTATTAAAACATTTAACCTATCAAGACTGAAAGGACTAAGTTAATTATTGGTCAAAAGTGAAGCTTTCAACCAATAAGTCCACTAAAATATGAGCAGGCATGTACATACAGTAGTGTTGGGAGCTGTGAGTCGAGTGATTTACTGTTTGACCAGAGCCCCACACGTCACCTTTCGGGGGGGAGTAAAGAGGGAGGGGATGGGATAGCGGGAGCTAGACTGACCCTACCTTAACAAGCAGCCGGCAATCAAACTATCACTTTCGGGGAGGGAGAAAAAGGGGGGGGAATAGCGGGAGCTGGACTTACCCTACCTTAACAAGTAGCTGGCAATGAAACTATTGTTACTATATACTCCCTCGCTACTCCTATCTATTGAACTTTTCCCTCACAGTGGCCCTGTAATTTACCATGGATTCTGGATCATCTGGGGATGTCCTGACCCTTCATCGGAGTTCCAAGGGGCGACTTACGATGAGAAATGCATTGTGGCAGGATCCCAGCCACCCTCTCTTTTGTTCGCTTAAGTGGCTCGGTGGATGCGGATTGCTGGCTTGCCGGCATGGAAGGGACAAAAAAAAAAAAAACAGAAAAAATGATAAATATACTACACCACTTCGGATCACTACTGGAGTGGAGGCACAATCAATGCCCCCCTCTACAGAACAACAGATAATAGTGACAACAAATAAAGCCTCCCTTCATACAATCAATACGAGAACATGTATACTTTGTAAATAAACAGAGTCTAAAGCCATCAACAATGATGTGCTTAATGCCTCAAATGATGTAGTGGAAGTTTTAGCAGTAAAGATCGAGAACCAAAACCTAGTCATTGTGGTAGTCTACAAGCCTCCGGATGCAACGTCCCAGCAATTCCAGGAACAGCTGTTAAAAATTGACCACTGTCTGGAAAATCTGCCAGCTCCTGCCCCCAACATCTTGCCCCTGGGGGATTTCAACTTGAGGCGCCTAAAAGGGAGGAACATAGCAAATAATGTTGTTGCAGTGATAACACCAGGAGGCAGCGTGACGAGAACTCACACACACACGAGCTTTTAAATCTCTGCACAAAATTCAACTTAAACCAGGTAAACTCCAGGTAAACCAGCAAATAATAGAGCCTACTAGACTGAAGAATACACTAGACCTCATCTTTACTAACAATGATAATATGATACGAAATGTCACCATATCAAAAACAATATACTCAGATCACATCATAATCGAGGTTCAGACATGTATGCGCGGAGCCCCAGACCGACAAAATGAGAGTAGTCACGAGGGAGCCTTCACCAAATTCAACTTCAATAACAAGAACATAAAGTGGGACCAAGTAAACCAAGTCCTAACCGATATAAGCTGGGAAGATAGACTAAGCAACACAGACCCCAACTTATGCCTAGAACAGATTAACTCGGTGACACTCGATGAATGCTCAAGGCTTATTCCTTTAAGAAAAAGGAGTAGATGTAAAATAGAAAAGGACAGGCACTCCCTTTACAGGCGACGGAAAAGAATAACACAGCGGCTAAAAGAGGCCAATATATCTGAAATGCGTAGGGAGACACTGGTCAGAGAAATAGCAAGCATCGAACTTAAGCTAAAGGAATCTTATAGGAGTCAGGAATCGCGGGAAGAACTAAAATCCATAAATGAAATCGAAAAAAAACCAAAGTATTTTTTTTCTTATGCCAAATCAAAGTCGAGAACAACATCCAGTATTGGGCCCCTACTTAAAAAAGATGGGTCCTACACAGATGACAACAAGGAAATGAGTGAGTTACTCAAGTCCCAATATGACTCAGTTTTTAGCAAGCCGCTAACCAGACTGAGAGTCGAAGATCAAAATGAATTTTTTATGAGAGACACAGAATTTGGTTGAACCAAGCCTATCTGATGTTATCCTGACGCCAAATGACTTCGAACAGGCGATAAATGACATGTCCATGCACTCTGCCTCAGGGCCAGACTCATGGAACTCCCTGTTCATCAAGAACTGCAAGAAGCCCGTATCACGAGCTTTTACCATCCTAAGGAGAGGGAGCATGGACACAGGGGTCGTCCCACAGTTACTAAAAACAACAGACATAGCCCCACTCCACAAAGGGGGCAGTAAAGCAACAGCAAAGAACTACAGACCGATACCACTAGCATCCCATATCATAAAAATCTTTGAAAGGGTCCTAAGAAGCAAGAACGCCACCCATCTAGATACCCATCAATTACACAACCCAGGGCAACATGGGTTTCGAGCAGGTCTCTCCTGTCTGTCTCAACTACTGGATCACTACCACAAGGTCCTAGATGCACTAGAAGACAAAAAGAATGCAGATGTAATGTATAAAAACTTTGCAAAAGCCTTCGACAAATGTAACCAGGGCGTAATAGCGCACAAAATGCGTGCTAAAGGAATAACAGGAAAAGTTGGTAGATGGATCTATAATTTCCTCACAAACAGAACACAAAGAGTAGTAGTCAACAGAGTAAAGTCTGAGGCGGCTACGGTAAAAAGTTCTGTTCCACAAGGCACAGTACTCGCTCCCATCTTGTTTCTCATCCTCATATCTGACATAGACAAGGATGTCAGCCACAGCACCGTGTCTTCCTTTGCAGATGACACCCGAATCTGCATGACAGTGTCTTCCATTGCAGACATTACAAGGCTCCAGGCGGACATCAACCAAATCTTTCGGTGGGCTGCAGTAAACAATATGAAGTTCAACGATATGGTAAACATGAGAAAATTAAAACTTCATCAGAGTACAAAACAAATTCCTTCCACAAAGTAGAGCGAGAAACCAACGTCAAAGACCTGGGAGTGATCATGTCGGAGGATCTCGTCTTCAAGGACCATAACAGTATCAATCGCATCTGCTAGAAAAATGACAGAATGGATAATGAGAACCTTCAAAACTAGGGATGCCAAGCCCATGATGACACTCTTCAGGTCGCTTGTTCTATCTAGGCTGGAATATTGCTGCACACTAACAGCACCTTTCAAGGCAGGTGAAATTGCTGACCTAGAAAATGTACAGAGAACCTTCACGGCGTGCATAACGGAGATAAAACACCTCAATTACTGGGAGCGCTTGACGTTCCTGAACCTGTACTCCCTGGAACGCAGGCGGGAGAGATTATATACACCTGGAAAATCCTAGAGGGACTAGTACCGAACTTGCACACGAAAATCACTTACAACGAAAGCAAAAGACTCGGCAGACGATGCAACATCCCCCCAATGAAAAGCAGGGGTGTCACTAGCACGTTAAGAGACAGTACAATAAGTGTCAGGGGCCTGAGACTGTTCAACTGCCTCCCAGCATACATAAGGGGGATTACCAATAGACCCCTGGCTGTCTTCAAGCAGGCGCTGGACAAGCACCTAAAGTCGGTACCTGACCAGCCGGGCTGTGGCTCGTACGTTGGTTTGCGTGCAGCCAGCAGTAACAGCCTGTTTGATCAGGCTCTGATTCACCAGGAGGCCTGATCACAGACTGGGCCGCGGGGGCGTTGACCCCCGGAACTCTCTCCAGGTAAACTCCAGGTAAACATATGAATAATTCCCTATCTATATTTGTTAAAACATTCTTATATCTTGCATGAGTTAATAATGGCATGAAATGTGACGGGATACCCTTGGCTCTGCCGAGAGTAGCTGAGCTTCCAGTAATCTTTACAGAATACATTTTAGCTTTCAGAGCTACCAACTCACTAATATGATTATCACACATTTCTGATTTCAATAACCCCAGTTCTCCTCTTCTACTATTATCATATAAGGGATGATCATGACTGAAATTTGAAAAATCCATATATCCTAACAGAGGTTCTCTTTTTAACTCAGTATACAAATCTTTGCATTTCAAGCTAAAAATATACGAATCGGTATCGGTATACAGAAGTCTTACATCATCACCATAGTGTTGTTTTAAAACTTTATACCAAAAATGATACAATTTCTTTTTGACAATCTCAAGAATTTGAAAACCGAGATAAAGTGGTTGTTTAACTTCTAATTTCGCTTTGTTGAAAGTACAAATCACTCTATCTTGATTCAAATGTGTGATATTTTTTTAAGAAAGGATCTTTAGCCGCTCTAACAAATGCTTTTTCATTCTTGATGTATCTATAAGACTCAGCATACTTTGTGATATTTAACAATGATTTCCCATATATGGCATTATTACTTAATTTGAAAGCTTTTGACTTGATAGGGCATTGTGTGGCCGTTCTCTGTGCGATATTAGTTGTTATGAAGGTTCTAAAAATTTTGACTGAGTATATTCATATATTGCATGCACCTTTTCCACCTCCAACCCCAGTTCCATTAATAATTGTAACAAATCTAGACTGATCAAATAATTTTTCTGGGGTAAATGACTGGCCACTAATTTCGCATTAGATTTGGGGATCTTTCTACCCTCATTTTTCAATATAGATTCACAATAAGGAGATAACATCTCTTCTGATATATTCATGTGTGATATTATAAAAGGAAGTTCATCAGTACGTCTAGCTACCTCAGGGGTCACATACTTGGTATCACATTCTATCCAATAACCCTTTTGACCTTCACACGAAACATTACTTAATCCCACATCGAGAAAAGCATTCTTCTTCTCATTCGTTAATTGTCTTATTCCATTCTGTGGAAGAGCTTCAACCATTGCACTAGCATACAAAGAATTAAAATCTAGATATAAAATATGGGTGCCCATTCTGCCTCAACATCAAAATTGGGATTAATTAATTGATTATCTGCTTTAGTATATTGATTAATTTCACACGTAAACCCTCCTCTGAGATTCCTTTTAATCAAGTCATATAACTCACGGGAATATATCATATCTAATTTTACTTTAGTTTTCAAGAGGAATGCATCCCAACTGAATGAAGGTAAACTTATATAATTACTAACATCTAGCTTATAAATATCTTTGAGTGTTTTACACCATTCCATTACCTGGAGTTTACCTGGAGAGAGTTCCGGGGGTCAACGCCCCCGCGGCCCGGTCTGTGACCAGGCCTCCTGGCGGATCAGAGCCTGATCAACCAGGCTGTTACTGCTGGCTGCACGCAAACCAACGTACGAGCCACAGCCCGGCTGGTCAGGTACCGACTTTAGGTGCTTGTCCAGTGCCAGCTTGAAGACTGCCAGGGGTCTATTGGTAATCCCCCTTATGTATGCTGGGAGGCAGTTGAACAGTCTCGGGCCCCTGACACTTACTGTATGGTCTCTTAACGTGCTAGTGACACCCCTGCTTTTCATTGGGGGGATGTTGCATCGTCTGCCAAGTCTTTTGCTTTCGTAGTGAGCGATTTTCGTGTGCAAGTTCGGTACTAGTCCCTCTAGGATTTTCCAGGTGTATATAATCATGTATCTCTCCCGCCTGCGTTCCAGGGAATACAGGTTCAGGAACCTCAAGCGCTCCCAGTAATTGATGGTGTTTTATCTCCGTTATGTGCGCCGTGAAGGTTCTCTGTACATTTTCTAGGTCAGCAATTTCACCTGCCTTGAAAGGTGCTGTTAGTGTGCAGCAATATTCCAGCCTAGATAGAACAAGTGACCTGAGGAGTGTCATCATGGGCATACATGAAGACATCGGCTAACAATCCAACATCTGCCTTGAGATATAACATCAAGTAATCTCCTAAACTTTTACCTTTCCCAAGTTAAACACTTTCATAGCATCATGGTCATAATTTTCCTGATTAATAGCACTATTTCTTAAAGAATTAAAAAAATGTTCTTTACTCGGTAGTTATGTTTCATCGAGTTTCTTTACAATATAATCATAGCACAGGACTTGCTTTCCTTTACATAATAAAGGTAACACATCCTGAGGCACATCTTTCAGAATGGCCTCTTTATATTTCAATGATTTACCATCCTTGATATGTTGATCTGCTAAAGTGGAAAGAGATCCATTCAATAAAGACAGAATATTGAAACCTAACCTTACCTATGTCTACTTTCAAGAATTTGAGTCCTTGTTTCGAATGAAGTTCAATTTCATATTTATCAACCTGCAATTCCTTTAAAATTATTCCTAAATCATAGGACATGTTATGACAAAAAAGTAATAATTTCTCACTCTTATCTTTACACTGTAAATTGCAGCGAGCACAATATGCACCAATATAATTATTGAATTTTAAGGTGTGATTATTATGTCTATGTTTATATTGGGCATCTTTGAAGGTGTTACCACATAATTCACAAGTGCTCTGGGAATCATGTCTCGTCTTATCCTCCTGTCATATGGATTACATGATACTGTCTTCTAAACTTTATCTTAGTCCATTTACCACTAACATATAAAATGAAATGATTAACTACATCCTCCCCCTTATAACTCTTCATACACACTATTTCACCTGTGCGATCAAATATAATATAACAATAAGCAATGACTTTATGGTGAGACTCAATTTTACCTGCCGGGAGAGTGGTATCTAATGCAAATTCGAAATCAAATACACCGATGTATTCGCTGGAATGTGTATGACTAAAATTTCTAAAGTGTACAGTTGTTCCTTCCAGGCGGAATACGAGAATCTGATTGATTTTACATCTATTTTCGTGGATATCTAACTCTTCCTGTGTATTCAACTTCATCAAATAAATATGGCAATGTCTCTTTACGTTAGGTTCATGCATTATCGTTCTAACATACCCGTCAAAATCTTTGATTAAAACCAAATGACTTTCATTCATCAATAATGCACACATGATGTCCTTATATTTCTTATTCCCCTTACGACACATAGCCACAAATGTTCCACCTTGATCCTTTCTTAATTGATAAACATATAATGACACTTTATTTTCCTTTTCTAATATGTACAAGAATGGTATATAATACCGACAAGATGAAATTAAGACACATGTGCAACATCTGGGTATCTTTATTGTAGACGTTTCGCCATCCAGTGGCTTTATGAATACAAATTCCAGGACATAAGTTGAAGACAGTAGAACTATGTACAGAAGATGAGGTAATCAGTCCCTCAACCTTGCAGTAGGTGCGAAGAGCACCGTAGTCGTGGAGATTCTGAAGCAGAAGCAAGGCGCCTGACGCTTATATAGTAACGCCAGGTGGAAATGGGACGGGTAGCAGACGAGGGCATAGTCACTGGTAGGCGGGATTCCCCAGTGGAAATAGGTCTTACCCAAACAGATGAGTTAGTTTTAGTAGATGTTGCACATGTGTCTTAATTTCATCTTTTCGGTATTGTATACCATTCTTGTACAATTTGTCAGACACTGCAACATCATGGAATCTTGACTCTGAGGACATGTACACAACCTTCGCGACTACGACAACTACTACAACTAACCCATCTCTTTGGGTAGGACCTACTTCCACTAGGGAATTCCGCCTACCAGTGACTATGCCCTCGTCTGCTACCCGTCCCATTTCCACCTGAAACTACCCCAAAACTACTCAAGACGGCAAGGGTTACACCAATACATAAAGGTGGTGACCCTACAGATTTAAACAACTATAGGCCAATATCAAACTTACCATTGCTATCCAAAATCTTCGAGAAACTCGTGCACAGGAGACTATATTCATTTATAACGGCACAAAACATACTCAACCCTGCCAATTTGGATTCAGGAAAAATAAAAGCACTAATGATGCAATCATAAAAATGCTAGATCTGCTTTACACAGCATTGGAAAATAAGGAATATCCACTAGGAATTTTTATTGACCTAAGAAAAGCTTTTGACACAGTAGACCACGGCATCCTACTCCACAAACTTGACCATTATGGTATAAGAGGCCATGAGCTTGCATATTTCAAATCTTACTTTACTAATAGGTATCAGTATGTCACCATTAAAGACAAAGCATCAACAACACGGCCACTTGATACTGGAGTTCCGCAGAGAAGTGACCTTGGTTCCCTTCTCTTCCTCATATACATCAATGATCTTCCAAACGTATCCCAACACCTGAACCCCATTCTCTTTGCTGACGACACGACTTATGTCATCTCTCACCCTAATCTTGCCACCCTCGACACCATTGTTAACGAGGAGCTGATCAAAATATCGACTTGGATGACAGCCAGTAAACTTACGCTTAACAATGACAAAACCTACTATATTATGTTTGGTAGCAGAGCAGGAGTTGCCCAAGTTAACATTAAGATCGACAGCACTCTAATTGCCAGACATAATGAGGGCAAATTCCTAGGCTTATACCTCGACAACAACCTGAATTCCAGCACCCATATCCAACACATAACCAAAAAAGTATCCAAAACGGTTGGGATCCTCTCCAAGATACGATACCACGTGCTGCAAACTGTCCTTCTCACACTATACCACTCACTTATTTATCCATACCTCACCTATGCTATTTGTGCTTGGGGATCAACTGCAGCAACACACCTAAAGCCAATAATAACCCAACAAAAAGCCGCAGTAAGAATAATCACGAAATCCCATCCCTGGCAACACCCCCCCACTCTTCATAAATCTAAACTTACTCCCTGTTCAGTACATCCACACTTACTACTGTGCAATCTACATCTACAGGACCTTAAATTCCAATATTAACCTTGACCTAAAACGCTTTCTTGATAGTTGTGACAATATCCACAGGCATAACACCAGACACAAGCATCTCTATGACATTCCCCGTGTCCGACTAAACCTTTACAAAAATTCAATGTATGTCAAAGGCCCTAAAATCTGGAACACCCTACCTGAAAATTCTAAAACTGCAGACACATTCATCACCTTCAAAACTACCATTAGAAAACTTCTTATCTCCCTGATATGCCCCATCAACTAATTACACGAATACCACCTGGTGGTTCACACTTACACTCACTCACCCATTTGACCATAAACAGAAATATTAATCTTAATCTTAAAATAATGAATCCTAACTAGTCATAAGTTGGCCTGTGATACTCCAATACTGAAAATATGTATTGTGCCAAAACAAAAGCATTCACATTGCTAAACTCACAAACTAGTATTTAGTCACTTAGCCATAATACCAACTTACCTCATAATTTGCAATATTTTAAATTTAAGAATTAATCTAAGTCTGCCCGAAATGCCTAGCCATGCTAGGTGTTCTAGTGGTACACTCTGTAATTATTATTTTACTACATGTAAACCACACAATAACCAAATTTTGTAAACTCAGCATTGTAATCCACAGCCGGGCTGTGGCTCGTACGTTGGTTTGCGTGCAGCCAGCAGTAACAGCCTGGTTGATCAGGCTCTGATCCACCAGGAGGCCTGGTCACAGACCGGGCCGCGGGGGCGTTGACCCCCGGATCTCTCCAGGTAAACTCCAGGTAATAAGCGTCAGGCGCCTTGCTTCTGCTTCAGAATCTCCACGACTACAGCGTTCTTCGCACCTACTGCAAGGTTGAGGGACTGATTACCTCATCTTCTGAACATAGTTCTACTGTCTTCAACTTATGTCCTGGAATTTGTATTAATAAAGCCACTGGATGGCGAAACGTCTTCAATAAAGACACTCAGATGTTGCACATGTGTCTTAACTTCAACTTTTCTAATATACCTAACTTATCACGTGTAATGGGAAAATCATTTATAGAAGATTTTGCATGATTAAGACATCCTCTCTTAGTATCGACAACTCTGGATATATTTTTCCATTTGACATTGATAGGCAGCAAAAGCACGCAGTACACACAACCCATCATTAATTTTTGGATTAAATATATATTGACTCCCTCGTAGTTTCTTGGGATATGCCACATATGATCCTACTTGTACTCTGAATTCTACTTTGACGTATTCGATACTGAAAGATTCGATTTGATCTATGATCCAACCATATCCTTCCTGATCTTGCAACTCTGTCTCATATCTTTCTAATATCGTTCCCACCCATCTATCAAATACTTCAGAGATTTCCTTTTCACTTACTAACTCAAACGCTAAATTTATTACAAATTGTCCATTTTGCTCATCAACCGATATGTTTTGACGTAATGTCCTTATAACTATAATCGGGTGGATTCTGAGTGACATTGCCAGAGGTGATCTATCATACAAATCTCGCATCTTATCTATAAAATAATCCCTATAAGCATGTAAATACATTCTTAACTCTCTGTTATAAGTTGAAGGAACACTATATTTCCTCACTGTGTGCCTACCTCTAAAATTCTGGATGTATGTGATAATTTCTGGATTCCCATCTGCATCATGTGAGGTAGTTGCTCTCTCATCTTCACCTCCACTGTTGTGTGTGACATTACTCCCGGGCACGTCATGTGAGGTAGTTGCTCTCTCATCTTCATTAACGAGGACAGAAGTATCCACCTTCCTGGCTGCACCTTCGCGCTGTGAGGTACCAACACTACCAGAACTACCTGCACTCTCATCTTCATTAACGCTGGTAGAAGTAACCATATTCCCCGTCGCACCTCCAAGCTGTCCGTCATTACTCTCAGTTTCATTCACATCAGTAGAAATACCAGGTGTATTTCCTGAGGAGGAAAAGTATACCCAATTCATAACCCAAAAAATATTTTTATATATTACGAATTAAGATTTCAATGAATAGAACAAAATCTTTCACTGGGCACGTTTACAATGGAACAAAATCTTTCTCGAGTGACTAACACAATTTTACGATAAATATTTTTCTCAACAACAATTTTACATATTACAACAAAAGTAAAAGGCACTGGTCACAATTTGGATACATACCTGTTTCTACAGCCTTCTTCCATAGTGCATCCATGCGATCCCACTCATTCTGTAATTCAGACAATCTCTCATCGCGATGTGCACCGCCTCTCTTGATTTCCAACGAACGTCGTCGTCTTATCGACAATCTCCTCTTCACTAATGCTTCCATGTAATTCGCATATATTCTTTTCTTATCCTCTGTTAAGAATTTCACTCATTAACACACTTTTCCAGTAAAAATTTCACTCGTATATTCCAACAACACGATTATCTAATGTGAATTTTACTCTTAACCCCCAAAAAATTCCGTTATATCATTCAATTATTCCATTACAGGGTCAAAATATGAAGTATATAAACATCCATTGAAACCAAGCCTTTCACGTATATATATATAGGTTACATAATATTACTGTGACAAAGGTTCAATTCAAATGAAAGAATGTTCACTATAAAATATATCCGTTAATTAGAACCATCCGCATACCATTTATCTAAAACATACATATGTTCCTCATTACAAAACTTTAATGAGTCATTACAAATTTATGGAAGTCATTAGCCTCCCAGCCCTCATCAAGAGGAGCACATTATATTGCGATACGAATATCGCACATGAAACATGCCCAATAAAGGGTATATGCGTACAATCTACATAGACCCAAAAGCTCCTGCAAGGTCTTACACCTATAATCTTAACACCATTCACACTTAATATATTAATCAGGTCATGACGACCCTGACACATCAATCACAGAATTCTCCATACATTACTACATAATTACTTGATTTCATCACCTTTGCTTTCTGTACCCACTTGCATGCTACATACACTTACGCCACACATCTACACCTTCTATACCCATACACCTCACTCTCACCCCCCCCCCCAGGAGGCGACCCCGCTGTGTCCCCCTGACTTCCCTCTTCTCATATGTAATCCCCAAACCCCCACCCCTTACTCACTCAGCCCAAGTCGCAGATTCATGAGAAACCCTAACGTTAACATTCTATAACCTTCCGAAAAATCCTTCGTCCACCTCCTCCCATACAGTTCTCTGTTACGACACATCGTACGATAAGCCGTTACCCTTAGTACCCGCCTCCTCACCTCACAAACCCCTCTCTCTCTCATCACCCACGATATATATATATAATCCACCATTATATAATCCAAAGCTCTTGTGACACCCTCGTCGAACCCTCCCACATCTAGGCTTAGTGCACGCAAAACCGACACCCCTCGCCCCCCCCCCCTCTGTACCACCTTACTTAACCAATACCTAACACCCTCCAGTCCCTCACAAAAGTATACTGCATGAAATGCCGTCTCATCACCACCACAGATTCCGCACCTCCCGCCCACAATTACCCTTCTGGTTCTTAGTACCTCCCCCGACGGTAGTATGCCATGCAGAAAACGATACGTTACCTCCCTCACCCTAGGCTTTAACTTCAGCTTGCTAAACCTATACCAAATACTCTTCCACGCATACATGGGGAACAATCCTTCAACTGGTACAACAATCCTCCCTGCAAGCAATCTACACAAAACCCCTATTCGAACTTTCCTGGGTTCTCTAACCAACATCAAAGCCCTCAAAACAGTTTCACATTCCCTCAACTCCATTCCACCATACAACTTACCCAACCTATCATGTATTTTTTTCAGCTGCCCCCCCCCCTCACTCCTTCGTGCAAAACCTCCCATTTAAGAAACACACATTTAACCCTCCTTCTCAGATCCATCAACCCCAAACCACCCTGGCATGCAGGTAACATTACAACCTCTCTCCTCAGCCAATCACACCTTGAACCCCACACAAATTTAAACACCCGTCTCAGAATTCCCACAATCGCCGTCCCTGTTATTGGGAACACGGCTGCTATGTGCCAAACCTTACTATACAATAATACATTTATTAAAATCACTCTTTGCACGAGAGTCAGATGATGAGGTCGCAATGCACCCAGACGCCTCAGGATCCTTTCCATCAACCTATTTGAGTTTTCCTCTCGAGCAGCATCCAAGTCATCCTTATAGATGATACCACAAATTTTTAAAGACACCGTTTGTTTCCTCACAACGTTACATCTACCCCCCACCTCCACCCAATCACCCAATCCCATGACCATTGACTTCTCACTATTTACCTACCTGCATCCCTGTTGCACTTCCAAACAATTGCACATCATCCAAAACCCCCAACGCCATCCCTTCCCGAACCAGGACTGTTGTATCATCTACATATCTTATTATTCCAGGCCACACTTTCCCTACCTCCCACACACCCCCACTCGTGTTACATACACAACGTTCAACCATTCTATAGAAGGGGTCCTGAATGCACGCAAACAATATTTGTGACATGGGACACCCCTGCCTAAGTCCCCTACCCATTAAAATCTCCTCCCCCAAGCATCCATTAATCTGTACCCTCATCTTAGCTCCTTTGTACAACGTGGTTACCCAATTAACTATTTCTTTCCCATAACCCTGCCTCCCAAGTATAGCTCCCAATGCTCCCCTTTCCACTCTATCATAAGCCCCCTGCCAGTCTAAAGCCAACAACGCCGCCCCCTCCCCCCCTTTTGACTCCACAAAACTTCTCAATATTCCATGACCTTCAATCATCGACCTTCCACGCAATCCATATTGTGTTTTCGAAACCACTCTCCCTACCACATATTTAAACCAATTACCCAATACTTTAGCGAACAGCTTATAATCTGCACATAACAGCAATATGGCATGGTACTCCTTGAGGGTGTGCTGCCCCTTACCCTTCGGGACCAACACTACAACTGCTGTTGCTTGCTTGTCCCCCATCACACCCTTCTCCTTCATCTGATTTAATAACCTAACCATAAAACCCCTTATCACCTCCCAATGTTGTAGATAAAATTCAGCTGGGAGACCGTCTATTCCCGGTGCTTTGCCCTTCCTCATTCCCCTTAAAGCCAACTCTATTTCCTCTTCCGTTATTACCCCTCCTAAAGCCTTCCTATCACTATTCCCTAAATTGCACGTCACATACACACCTTCTCTAAAGCCACATTCCCCACCCTCCCACTTGTCCATTTATCCGCATACCATTTATCCGCATATGCACACATTCCTTTCATAGCCCGTATCTCCTGACCTACCCTATAACCTCCCGCCATCTCATGTACCTCTAACCTCGGAATAGCTGTAACCTGCTGTCTTTGTTTTTGACGTCGCAATACACACACCGATGGCTTGTCTTCCCAAAGCACCTCCTCAACCCCTGCCTGCACCCTTACCGCTTGAAACCTCTCATTTTGTAACTCCCTTAGTCTCCCCTTGACCTCGACAATTTCATCCATAGGATAGTTGCCCCCCACAGCCCCCTGCCCATAACAACCCCTTAACCTGTCCTCTAAATAATTTGAAAGTCCATATTTTAAATTATTTATGCATTTACCCTCCCTCACATAATATTTCCTAATCCTTTCCTTGGCTACACATTTCACGACATTTCACGACATCGTCCACCCTCTGTGCATCCTCGCTAAGCTCCTTCCATAGGACAGAAAATCCTTCTAACCCCTCCTCATCACTCAATACACTTATATTTAATTTCCAGTAACTCCTGTATATTTCTGCAAGTGCCTCCCACCCAACCTCCACTAACACTGCTCTATGATCCGACCATGCTACTTCAACAGTTTTGAAAGATCGCACTACAACCCCATGAGAAAGATACACCCTATCTAACCTCGCTGCATACCCACTCCTAACAAACGTATGCTCTTTCTCCCACGCCCCCCCTTAAATGCATCCTGTAACCGAATATCCCTCATTAAATCTCTGAGGGTCACCGACACATTGCCTGCCTCTTTCGGTTCCACGTCGGCCCTCCTAATAATGCAGTTCCAATCACCTCCTACTATTACCACCTCCGGTAATGCACGGAAGAAAAACACAAAGTCCTCACACACAAACTCCTGCTTCACCTGTACGTTATTCTCTGCAGGCGCGTACACGCTTATAAAGGCCACACGTTTGCCCATCCACAAACCATCCACGTGCAACACCCTCCCCCCCCTCACTTCTCTGCAAAACAAACGGGCTCGCCTCCCTAATTAGTAAACCCATCCCTCCTTTCAAATGGGCAGATGGCAGGGTTACCACCTGAAACCCTGCCACCTCCAACACCCTACCCTCCTTAAAATTATGCTCCTGAAGGAACACAACATCCACTCTAGATTTATTCAGAAACATTCTAAACCATTCTCTCTACATTATTACACAAACCATTAACATTTACTGTCATACACCGGAGGCCTATTAAAGTTTCCTCCCCTGCCTCCTCTCTTCACTTTTCCGGTGGGCCCCAGAACTTATGGGTCCACTTGTCACCTTCACACTTCCCTCTCTCCCCCCCTTCTTTCGGTGCCTCCTGTCGTGGCCACCACTACCTTCACCTTCAGCCCATATTTGCTTCCCAGGCCACTGCGCTGGCGTTAGGACATCATCCGAATCCAACGCAGCGGCCCTCTTCCTAGTGACAATCGCCTCCTCCATAGCTTGGTCTGGGGATGCCTCACAATGTACCTCAACCTCCACTGTACACTGTTTCAATGATCCCGGCGACACCCCAGTCACGCTGTCACTCCTGTCGTTTGGGCAGTTCTCCTGTCGTTGATGCCCCGCAGCCGTCAACTCGTCATCTACCACCTTCCCAGGTGCTGCCTCCTCCTCAGGTGGTGACAAGGACTTCAACACCTCAGCTAATTCCTCCTCAATTTCCAACACTTCCTCCTGTACTTTCTGCTCGTCTCTATTCTCTGGAAGTGTCTCTGGGCCAGGTCAAGGGCCTCACCCTCTCCCCCAGCCTTATGCGCCTCATCCACTATCTCGCTCCATAGACGACCACGCCCTCCTTCACGTCGTTGATCCTCACCTGCTCCCTCCGTTGTAGAAGCGGATACCTCTGCCTCTGGGCCAGGAGCTTGTTGCTACTTCCCACACGCCGCCGCTGTGTGATCATATTCCCCACATAGTCGGCATGTACATCTTTGCCCGGTGTACGAAACCATGACCTGTGTCCTGAATTCCTGTAGGTACACATAGGACAGTATGGGGTGTCGTAATGCCATTTTAGGTTAAAAGTGCCTTCCAGCAGACCTGCATAGGCACCCGTCACCCACGTACCATGCTGGGCCA